CCCCGGCGCGGGGCTGGGCCTGCGGCGGGGCGCGCGCGCGCGGCGTTGCTGCCGTGACCGCGGCCCGCATTTCGCCTTAAAACGCGTACCGCCCCGCCCTCAATTAGCATGTGAACAGGCCTCTTAAAGTGCTTTCTCGGTGCAGCCGTAATCTTATTTCCAAGGGGAATATAAAAACACGAGCGAGTCTTCTTACTGTCGCCTCGCACAAGGAAGATTTTATTGCTGAATTCAGACGGGTTTACGCCGCGAAAATGATTAGTTCGGGAAGGAGGTAGAAGATTGCTTTCTTAGTCCTAAAACTGAGCTAATGGGGACACCCTTCCCAAGGTCAACAGCCCTTGTGTTCACCCCCTGTGCACGCCATCGCCATCGCCACAATGGCCCCACGCCTCTCTCCACGGTCTTAACTCCCTTCCCCGGCAGAGAACCCTCCTGTGAGGCTTGTAATCGAGCTTCCCTACCGGCCGCCTTTCCTCACATGATTCCCTCCGCCTTTCCTTCTGGAGGCGAAAAGGAAATGCGTCAGTTTATTACTCTGCTTATCTTTGCCCCGCCCTCCTGCCTCCATGGCCCATTAATCCTATTATCTTGCCCTTGGCTTTTACCCTCTCCCATCTCCCTCCTTCATCATCTTAAGGAATATTTACAAACTTGCATCTCAACCATACTAAAAACAAAAGCAAGCCCTTAAACCCCGAAACTCTCAAATTATTAAATCCGTTGACATTTCTTTGCCAAAAGCTCCACATGAATTTTTTGCACTTATATTTGTCATTTTAACATTTGTATCCAATCCCAGTTTCCTTGGTCAAAACCCGTGGTCCCGAAATTACTGACATGGGTCTTACAGCCTCTGTTAGGAAGCTGTTCCCCTACTTAGCATCTTCCTTGGGCTTTCTTGTTTGCCCTTGCTCATTCAGCCATCCCACAACATATGAAGATCTCTTTGATAAGCATGTGGTGAACTTGAGCAAGTACTGCCATGGAGAAGCTTACTCTAGACCAGTGGTTCTCAACCTTGGCAGCACGTTAGAATCACCTGGGAATCTTTTAGAAAATCCTGATTTCTGGGCCTCATCCTCCGGAAATTCTGTTTCTTTGTTACTAATGTTGTGGCCCCACCCCATAACAGGATTTTAAATCCCAGGTGACTCTAATGTGCAGCCAAGGTTGAGAACCACTGGTCTAGATGAAGAACCTAATCAATAGGTAGTGTGCACTCTAGGCTGTTGATTAGGTGCAGTGATAATAAGCACAGGTGGTGATGGCTTTCTGTAACATTTTGCTATGGTGTTCTCTTACTGGGCTGGTTACTCCTTATTGGCTAATGGTTTTGTTTCCTAACCATACGTTTCTCAAGGTTTAAAAAGGATGGTAATGAGAGAAAGTGGGTTTTATAAGAGCCAACTCTATGCAAGCAAGTAGACTAGCTTTTTCCCAGTGGACTCTTCAAACAGCTAAATTACCACACACCACACAGAACTGAATTGTCAGAACTACATCTTAAGGGAAATGTTGATAAACCAAGGAGCTTCCATAAGAGGGTGATTAATATAGTATGGTCAGACAACCAGGTCATAGGAAAAATGAGAGAATAGTAATAGCTGCCATTTATTGAGTGCTATGTGCAAGGCAGTGCGCTAAGGGCTTTTATTCAGTGTTTATTGAGATGTTCATTGAGAACTTAATGCTGTGCCTGTTACTGCCTGTGCTAGGCACTCAGAATAAAGTTGTGAACAAGATAGATAAGGTCTCTGCCTTTATGGAGCTTTATATATGTCATTTAATTCTTACAGCAGCCCATCAGAGAGGTATTATACTTTTTTTTTCTTTTTGCTGAGAAACAGGCACAAAGATGAAGTAAACTTTCCAAGGTTACACAGCTAGTAAATGATAGAACCTTAAGCCTTTCAACCTGTTTCTCATTTGACCCATATAACCCAAATATGATTTGAGTAACTATTTTCTCAGTTCTCCCAAGGATAGTATATAACATACTCTTCAAATATCTAAAAAGATGTTAATTTATAATACATGATAAATACCTTAAGCTGGGCATTATGATAACCCATGGTTGACAAAGGAATCCCAAAACTATATGTGGAGAGTTTTAGACTGGGAAAGGATAATAAAATTAAGGCTAAAGATAAAAGATTTTCATAAAACTTAGAGATAAATTGGGAAAATACCACATCATAAGGTAATGAATTAACTGTCCAAAGTTCAGACAAAGGCTAAACCCAGTCAAGTGTAAATAGGACTAGTTGACTTAAGTTCTTTCCCATTTAACCTATAATTCTATACTCTAAAAATGAATAATTAAAATTAGAAATGGAGAATTAGGGGAAAGATAAAAAATGAGTTATAATATGTAGGATGACCATATTTACTGTGCAAACTAGGACCTTTGAGAGTGGAAGTGCTATCACTTGAGCTGGGGCAACAGGCATATCAGGATTACCCCAGGTAGAATCGGTGGGTGATAAAACCCAAGGAGAGGATACAGCATTAGATATGCCTTTGAAGCATATTCTTCAGGGAAAGGGGGCTGAGATTTGTGAATGAAGGAACAAAGTCTGGCAAAAAAGTGCATGAGGAAGGAAGGACCCAGCGGGAGTGACTTCATTTCTGTCCTGGCATCAAGAGTAGAGCTTTGATTGAATGATAGTGTACATGTGCAAGGAAAAAAAAAAAGGGTGTGAGAAAAGAAAATTAATGTGGCTCAATTGGTAGGAGAGTCATCCTGTACACCGAAGGGTCTTGGGTTCTATTCCTGGTCAGAACGCATACCTACATTTCAGTTTGATCCCCAGTCCTGGTTGGGGCAAGTGTAGGAGGCAAGCCATCACTGTTTCTTTTTCTCCTTGTTCTTTTTTTGTTAATCCTCACCCAAGGATATTTTTTTTCTTTCTTTTTTTTTGGGGGGGGGGGTGGTAGTGGAAGAGAGAAGGAAAGACAGAGAAACATCGATGTGAGAGAAACACATCTATTGGTTGCCTCCCGCATGAGCCCCAACCAGACACCGGGCTAGGGAGGTGCCTGCAACCAAGGTAAGTGCCCTTGACTGGAATCAAACCTGGACCCTTTGGTCCACAGGCCAACAAACTCTAGGGCTGTTCTTTTCTTTCTTTTTTCTTTTTTTTAAGAATAGTTTATTGATTTTTAAAGTTTATTTTCAGAGAGAAAGGAAGGGAGAAAAGAGAAACATCCATGTGAGAGCATAACATTCATCTGCTGCCTCCTGCACGCCTCATACTGGGGATTGAGCCTGCAACCCAGGCACTGGGTCCTGATCAGAATCAAACCAGCACCCTTTTGTTGCGTGGGACAACGCCCAATCAACTGAGCCACACTAGCCTGGGCTCTCCTTAACATCTACACTAGTGTCTAAGTTAGAATGTATTTCTAGATTCACAAAGAATGTATTGTGGAAGCAAGAACCAACATAAACCTCTTTCAATGAAATTACATGAAGCAAGGACAAGTTTCCCAAGAGCAGTATTTGTTATTAAGAATTTGTATACAAAGTGAATTCTTATTTAATGTCAGTGATTGAATATAACATAATGTCATTCTAAAATAGATGAATTTTCGCCCTAACCGGTTTGGCTCAGTGGATAGAGCGTCAGCCTGCAGACTCGGGCGTCCCGGGTTCGATTCTGGTCAAGGGCATGTACCTTGGTTGTGTGCACATACTCAGTAGGGAGTGTGCAGGAGGCAGCTGATTGATGTTTCTCATCGATGTTTCTAACTCTCTGTCCCACTCCCTTCCTCTCTGTAAAAAATCAATAAAATATATTTAAAAAAAATAAAATAGATGAATTTTCTAAGATTAATGCAAAAATAGTCCAAAAAATTAATTCTGTAAGTTTTTTAAAACTATTGTAATTTCCTGTTTGTTTTTATTGCCCCTTAAGTGTTAGACCATACTAAGCAACTGACCAGCATGTGTTGAAGTGGAGTCCTATTAGAATATTACTTCCTGTACTCATCAGCACTAAAACTCTTAAAAAGAATGCCCATTTAGGGTAAAGAAAAAAAGGAGGCCAATGAAACTGTTAAACTAGGAAGGAAGGAAGGAAGGAAGGAAGGAAGGAGGGAGGGAGGGAGGGAGGAAGGGAAGGAAGGAAGGGAAAAGAGAGAAACTATTTACCTCAGTAGCCAGATTTAATGATAAGTCTAATTCTAAAAGGGGTAACTTGGAAGGAAAAAAGGAAAGGAGGGGAAAAGTCCTAGAGGGGAGGGGGGAGTAAGTAGACTTCTCATGGTCAAAGTTCAACTGCCTGGTGAGCAAAATTAATTATGTCTGTCATTCCTTTGGGGAATCCATAACCCACTCAGATGCAGATTTTATCTTACCATTTTCCATGAAAAGCACTCTGATTTTCCCAGTGGACCTAATGTATAAGCTTGAATACTTATGACTCCATACCACCTATTATTACCTGTATTCATTGCCTACATCCATTCAACTGCAAAGTCCTGCCCATTTTATCTTTACAATGTATTTATCCTATATAATAAATTCTAATATGCAAAAAGACCAAACCGTGGAATGACCAGTTGCTATGACACACACTGACCACCAGGGGGAAGATGCTCAACGCAGGAGCTGCCCCAGCCTGCTGGCCCAGGCCAGCCAAGGCGGATGCCTGCAGGGGCCCCCACGATCGCCCCGCTGGTCACCCTGCAGATCAGCCCTGATTGCCGACCA